TGCCACCAGCTCCGGGGTTTTCGAAGTGGTTTGCCATTAATATGCTCTGTGTTTGTATATGTGCCAAGAGAAATAAGATTTCACTAAAAACTGCTTCCAAGTGTTACTTCCTGACTGGCACAAGTCCAGTAGAACCAGATCTGGGTGATGAACCTGTGAAAACATCACAAGTGTGGGCTCCCCCAGATCTGCTGATAGCAGCAGATTTCCATCAGTGCAGGATGCATCTTCACAGGACTGGAACTGGCATCTTTGTTTTCCACCATCTTCGGTGGCAGGGAATCAAATCCTGTGTTTCCTCCCAAAAATATAAGCTCTGTGTTATGGACAGAGCAGTCCTGAGGGATGTGGGGTTTGGAGAATGAGGTCGGTGCCAAACAACATTGTTGATGTGTAACATCGTGATAATAACGACATGTTACACTCTACAAGGGTGGCACATGCCAAAAAAGTGGATGAACACTCTTTCAAAGTAAAGGATGCAGTATCAGATTGCATAATATAAATTAATGATCATATAAAATCCTGACCCTGTTACACAAAATCCCTCGGCTTTGACAGACTCCCCCAAAATACATTATTACTAAAAAATAAAGCTCATTAAATCATGACAGGAGCTGGAAGAAAAAAGGGATCCTTTACATTTACCCCTACTCCTCTCTTTTAAAACCCCTACCCCAGATTGTTTCCTTTGCCAGATGAGGATCCCATGACATGAGTGCTGTGACTGAAAAGTTGGAAAGCCCTCAGGCACAGGGTGGGGTTATTGGGGTGCCAGATGAGGATCCCATGAAATGAGTGCTGTGATTCACTAGAACATCTCTGAAAGTCTCCAAGGCTGGGGTTTGAAAAGTTTGAAAGCTCTCAGGCACAGGGTGGGGTTATTGGGGTGTCCCATGCACGGCCAGGAGTTGCAATCCCTGATCCTTGTGGGTCCTTTCCAGCTCAGGATATTCCATGATTTTGTGATCCTCTTTATGTACTAAAGGTGGAAATCCAGATCACATGGAGTGATATTAGATTTTATTGTATTTTATGGTAGTTTGTGTCCGTCCACACGGTAGGAATGATGTTTTCCATGTAAATCTGAAGATGGTAGCAATAGGTTTACAGCTCTCTGATGCATGGCCCTCGGTGAAAAAGCAAATTATATGTAAATATCCATGTTAATGAGACATTTGCTTACAAGAGGTGCTAGAGACAATCAGAGCAGTTAATGAGATCTTTGGAGAACCACCTGTTAGCCTCGCTTAAATTAACTTCCTTATTTCTAATTATTAAATCAACATCGTTTGTCTTCCAAACACTGGGATAGCAGTGGAGGCTGCAAACCAGCCCGGGGAAATGCGAGGAAAACCTCACCCTGCAGAACAGGGATAAACAGCTCATAGCAGAGTGTTTGAAACTCAGTTACACCAGGTGGCTGTTTGTGTAGCAACACCACGCAGAGATAAAAAATAGCCCCGTTTAAAAAGTCATTATAAGTTCATTGTGCTCGAAAACACTGATGTGCTGACGCTGGGAAAGAAGCAGCAAGTCAAGTAATTTACCTTAGTTACTAAAATAGCCGAGTGGTGGAGATTGCAAAGAATTCCCCACCAATAAATTGCATGATCCTGCTCAGAAAAGCAGATTGGAAAGGGGCAATTTAGACAAGCAAAGAGAAGGATGACAAAAAAAAAATTAAAATTAAAGGGAATGAAGGCCAGTGTGTACAATCTCCCTGCATTTGTAAACTGTCATAACAGCCAGCAACTCCTGCTGGGGGAAATCTGCCCACGGAAATCAATGTGACTCGAGTGTGAAACTGCCCAGCAGGGCCCCCTCTGGCATGGACAGGGCGTCTCCACTGCCCTGGGACATAGGGATGCCCGAGCAGGCTTTTTGGAAAGGGCAGCTCACACACTGCAAGCACAAAGGATCAGCTTCAGGTGAGCCATTTTCCTAATTTTCAGCATGTTAGAAATCAGTAATTAAAAGAAAAAAACAAACAAACAAACAACTTTGAAGAATAAGATTTTGTGTGGGTCGGAGTGAAAAAAAAATAATATTTACAAATAGCTAATGGATGGTCTTGGAAACAAAACAGAATCACAGAGTCAGTAAGGCTGGAAAAGCCCTCCAAGGTCATCAAGCCCAAACACTGACCCAGCACTGCCAAGCCCAACACTGAACCGTGTCCCCAGGTGCCCCATCCACATGTTTTTGGACACTTCCAGCGATGGAGATCCCACCACTTTCCTGGGCAGCCTGTTCCAGTGCCTGACCACCCTTTCAGTGAAGAAATTTATCCCATCTAGACTTCTCCTGGAGCAACTTCAGGCTGTTTCCAGGAAGCACAAATCCTGCCTTCCCTCCCCATACCTGCCCTGCAACCTGCAGGCTGGAATTCCAGTTTGGCAAACCTTGTGGGATTCACTTCAGGTAAAATAAGAGTACTAAAGCTTGGTGTAAGTAAGTAAGTACTTGTGTCCTCCTCATAGCATGAGCAGAAAGTGCTTCAGCTTGGTTAGTTGCCTCCTCTTTGATGGCTGGATGATCCCCTGGGAGCCAATATTCCTCGTTGCCGACTTTTGAGGGAACATAACACGATCATTCAGCCACAGGATTAGTCCAGACTGGTTTAACTTCAGCTGGCTGAGCCTCACCCTTTTGCCCTGTTCAGCCAAGCAGAGTTTCATCTGTAGTTGATAGGAGAGAGACTTTCTAGACAGGGATAATCCCATTTTAAGGTGGCAGTCCAGGGGAATCAGCCTGGAAGGTGGAGTTGCCTCTCTGCACTGACTGCACTCAGCAGGAGGAGGTTAAGAACTGGATTAATGTATTTACAGCTGCCTTTTAAATGCTTGAAGTTTGTGCTCTTTACAGGGTCTAGCTGGTGTTAGTAGACATGTGGCTGCTTATGAAAACCCCCATGATCAGTCCCTACATCATTATCTTGTAAAAGGGAGGTAAAATTCATGTTTAAATTGTGAGCTCCCTGTGACTGGATCCACTTTGCACTTTTAGTTCAGAAAAACCAGGCTGATTTCAGCTGAAGCACAAGGTGGATTTCACATGGATTTCACGTGAAGCCCACGACACTCAAGTTTAAATTCAGCATTGTTGGAGCTGAGGGAGGTGCCTCACATACCTAAGGATGGCTCTGACCTGGCAGCCACTGAAAAAGGACAGCTCTTTCCAAAAAAAGGTCACATTTTTTAACCAGGAGAAAACTTTTATGTCTTTCTTATTTATGATTGCAGAATTTTCTGATGCATTTTTAAAACTAAACCTAAAACACCAAAACCATTCTAATCACCCTGCCTCCATGGAGATCCACACAAACCTTGTTCCCATCTTTCATTTCCAATTAAGCCTCTTGGAGGAAAACATACTCTCTCTCTCTAACCTGCTAGTCCTGGCAGCTGAAAGGCTCCCTCTTGCCTGAAGTTTTTGGACAAACACCAAGAGAAAAAAAAAAACAAACCAAAAAACCAAAAAAACTCAAAGCAAGCCATGCTGGCAGAAGAGCAGTGATAAACAGCTCTGCTGAAATTGCTTGTGGTGTTTATCTTCCTTTTCTCCTCTGTCTGGGGCTGTCTTGAGAGTCACAGTTTGATAGTGGGCAGATAAAAACCCCCAGATTTTAGGCAACCCCATAGCTGAAGTTCTCTGAGTTCAAGGAATGGACCTTGAGGATAAAGCCTGTTATCTTCCACCAACAGAGTCACTGTGCCACCAGGACTGTGTTCAAACTCTTATTTTTTTACAGATTTGTGCCCTGTTTTCTTATGGTGCCTCTACCACCTTACCCTCATTTACACTCTGTATTTAAATCCTCTTTGCAGTCTCCACAACATCCTCCCAAATCCTCACCCTGCCCTGGTGAGAAATGCTTCCTCTCATCTCTTGTCGAATTTTTGGCAAGAGGAGAGGCAAAAGCAGAGATATGGGTGTTTTTTTTTTTTTTTGAATGGCAAGGCCATATGTGGTAACTCATTCCCATGGGTAACTCCTCCCTGACTCCTTCTCAGTGACAACTCCTGCTTTGACATCTTTTTTTACACTCAGCACAACATTTTCACAAGAAAGGGCAGTTAAA